GCACATGGACTTTTCTTCCCGGGAATTCCCGGGCTTTCCCGGTGGGGTCTCTGCTGGAACACATGCATCGTGCGAAACAGACAACGTTTGTATCATGAGCATTATCATGCTGTGTTTCCACATCGCGCACGATGATCAATGATATGTGTCATGCAATGTACAATATATTTCCTAATGAAAATAATGGCACAATAAACACGTACATACACTATATGTATATACATAAGTACAGTTTAATATAGTCGTAACTACTGCTGCTACTGCTACTATATGCTGCTTCGTATATAAAAAACTACGACCAGCACTACTACTTAATTCTGCCACTGCATACTATTATACTACTATACTACTACTACTACTACTACTACCACTACTACTACTACTACTACTACTACTACTACTACTACTACTACTACTACTACTACTACTACTACTACTACCAGTATACTATACTCTACTAACTTAGAAAATAGCTACCTGTTGCAGTTCGCTTCCCACGTGGTCTTGATCTGGTCGTCGTTGTATATGGTCAGTCCAAGACCATGTATACATATATATATATACACATATGTATATGTCAGGCCTGTGCCAGGCGAGGAGTGGCCATTAACACCAGGACCATCCTCTAGGCCCAGATTCCCGGACCCCCTGGCAATCTGACCATGATATTGTAGGGAAACTCATCAGCCGCCCTAGGTGTTCGAGCACCGAATGATAGGAATCGGGCTTAGAACACATGCCTCATGTGATCGAGGCCAGCTGCAGTTCACCTCCCACATGGTATAAATCTGGTCGTCGCCGTCCTAGACGTCAGAATTGGTCAGTCGACCCCAGCGTGTTTAATCAATGTCTGGCCTGTGCCAGGTGAGGAGTGGCCATTAACACCAGGACCATCCTCTAGGCCCAGATTCCCGGACCCCCTGGCAATCTGACCATGATATTGTAGGGAAACTCATCAGCCGCCCTAGGTGTTCGAGCACCGAATGATAAGAATCGGGCTTAGAACACATGCCTCATGTGATCGAGGCCAGCTGCAGTTCGCTTCCCACATGGTCTAAATCTGGTCGTCCGTCGTCCTAGACGTCAGAATTGGTCAGTCGATCCGAGGGTGTTCAATCAATGTTTGGCCTGTGCCAGGTGAGGAGTGGCCATTAACACCAGGACCATCCTCTAGGCCCAGATTCCCGGACCCCCTGGCAATCTGACCATGATATTGTAGGGAAACTCATCAGCCGCCCTAGGTGTTCGAGCACCGAATGATAAGAATCGGGCTTAGAACACATGCCTCATGTGATCGAGGCCAGCTGCAGTTCGTTTCCCTGTCGTGTACATCTGGTCCGGACGTGTTGCTACAATTACAACGAAGAAGAAGTAGCAGTAGCAGCAGCAGCAGCGTAATAAAAAAAAGCACTTATATAATATAGCAACAGCAAGAGTAGGAGGAGTAGTAGCAGTAGTAGTAGTAGCAGCAGTAGCAGTAGCAGTAGCAAGAATAGTACTATTCGTAGCAGTAGCAGCAATACTAATAATTCATTCATTATTTCGTAGAAGTATAGTATATAGTATATAATAGCAGTAGTAAGAGCTGTAGTAGTAGTATGTTGTAGTAGTAGTAGTAGTAGTAGTAGTAGTAGTAGTAGTAGTAGTAGTAGTAGTAGTAGTAGTAGTAGTAGTAGTAGTAGTACTAGTAGTAGTAGTAGTAGTAGTAGTAGTAGTAGTAGTAGTAGTAGTAGTTGTTGTAGTTGTAGTTGTAGTAGTAGTAGTAGTAGTCGCAGTCGTAGTAGTAGTAGTAGTAGTAGTAGTAGTAGTAGTAGCAATAATAGCGGTGGTATAGTAATAATAACATGGTTATATATGTTTATAGTAGAAAAAATGTAGGACTATCGTTTTGGAGCGAGATAATAAAAATAATGAAAAACATATTTAAAAGTTTTACAGTTATAAAGAATTATAGGAATGTAAGAATGTAGTAATATAAACTTTTTAGGAATATAGTAATATTGAAATATAGTAATATAATCATATGGTAATATAGTAATATACATAATATAAAGTAATATATATCGATATAAATAAAAATGCAATACAGTATAATAGAGTAAATTATGATATCGTAATATGGTAATCTAATAATATAGTAATATATTAATATAGTAATACAATAACATAAAATACTAAAATACAATATAGTATATAGTGCTAACATATATATATATATATGTATATATGTATGTGTGAGGATCTATTTTTTTGAGACGATACCCATCTGTATTTTTACATATATAATACTATATTAAATTAGATTGTATATTGAATATATTGAACTATACTAGATTATACCGGGTCAAATACTACACTATGTTATAAGAATTGCGCTATATATTAGTATATTAGTGTATTATACTACTAATATTTACTACTATACTACTAGTATATCACCACTGCTACTACTATTGTTGCTACTACTACTACTACTACTACTACTACTACTATTACTACTACTTACTATTTCTAGGAATTACCAGTACTCCTATGCTTATATGTACTTATACTAAGGCTTTGCTACTTTTGCCATCCGGGAAACAAGAATTTCCTGGCCAAAGGTCTTCCGGAAACAACAGACGGGAAACAGACGGGAAATCACATGGCCAAGATAAATCCAGGATAATCCGGGAATTTCCTGCAGCAGGGAAATCCACAAGGAAACCATTGCAAGGAAAATCTAGGGAAAATCCTGGAAATTCCTGCCCTTTTCCTGAAACCAAGAATCAGGGAAGAGGGCCGGGAACCGGGAAACCGGGAAACCGGGAAACCGGGAATCCGGGAAACCGGGAAACCACCACATTCTGGAAAAGGTCAGGTAGCAACCGGGAAACCGGGAATTCCGGCCTGGCAGGTAGCCGGGAGACAGGAAGCCAGCAAATTTGGGAACAGGCATCCAAGAGAAATCCAGGAACCGGGAAATTTGGGAAGCCACAACATCCGGGAACAAGGATACCCAACAAATCATGGAACCTGCCGACGATGAACTGTAAGAATTCCCAGCGAATTAAATTTGCATCCACATTATGGTGGTAGATGATTGCTACTATTCGAGTTTACTTACTTCGTATATAAATCGAATATAGCTGTTTCTACATACATCTAAATATTTATGGCAAGGGTAGTCACCCTTGTTGTCGAAGTCCTAGAAAAGCAGCAGTCTATAGGTCCTAGTGATAGTAATAGCAGTAGTAATATATAGTAGTAGTAGTAGTAGTAGTAGTAGTAGGAGCCGGTTGAAAGGACACTCAGCACGTTGAGGTGTGTGTTCGATTAAAGGTGATCAGTGTGCTGTTTTGTGTCCTTCCTTCCAGGCTTGTAGTAGTAGTAGTAGTAGTAGTAGTAGTAGTAGTAGTAGTAGTAGTAGTAGTAGTAATAGTAGTAGTAGTAGTAGTAGTAGTTGTTGTTGTTGTCGTAGTAGTAGTCGTAGTAATAGTAGTAGTCGTCGTCCTAGTAGTAGTAGTAGTAGTAGTAGTAGTAGTAGTAGTAGTAGTCGTAGTATAGTACTAGTAGTTATCCTAGTAGTATACGAGTATAATAGTATACCAGGAATATAGTATTATACGGAGTAGTAATAGCGTACTAAGTGCAAGTAGCTAGTATATAGTCATGCGCTATCCAAGTTTACAGCATACAGCTATCATAATTGATATTGCAAATACACAAAATATAAAATACTATATATGCCAGTGGTATAATGGCTGTAAGAATAGCAGCAAGCAATAGTATAAGCAGGATGTTCAGTGTAATATGCAGAGAAATCTAGAGTATACACATAAAAGAAATGGCTATAACCAATGAGCAAATATTCCTCTTGAAACACATTATAAAACAACACATATATATATATATATACCCTGAAGCTAGATATTGTAGATATGCAAATACGCACATGCACATCCAGCGCCAACCCATGTTCCTTCAAGCACGTTTCCTTAGTTCTCTTTACTATATAGCTGTATTTCTTTTATAGGGTTTCGAATGTGAGGGTCTAGGGTGCAGGCTTCAAACCTAGCAAGGGTTTAAAGTGTATGCCAGCGCCAGCTGCCAGCTTCCAGCAACAGATGCGGAACCTCCGTAGCGATATGAGGGTTTAGCAGAGGGTGCCGGGCTCAAAGTAAACAACATCTAGATAAACTTACATGGGTATGAGGTTTGTGCTTGTGAATATTGCGGGTTACAATATTGGGATCTACAGACAGTACTAAGGACATGGACGATGGGTTCCGCGGGGTTCAGGAATCGGGCACGGAGGGATCGGGCTGGGGGTTGGTAAACCGCAATAATTCAGCCCCTGAAATCAAAGGTAGGGAATCCAGGGCTTAAGGCGGTGAGCGATGCATCCAGGCAAACAGAGCTGGACATTTCAGCTTCTAGGGTTGGTAGCTGCCTGGCCTGTTTGATTGATTTGCTACTCCATGCGGCTTGCTCTTCAAATCGGTTTTGGCTCATTTTTATTTCAGGTTTCCGGGTTGGGGGCCCAGAGGTCTGTAGCAATGCATGGTGTGGGCATAATATTAAAAAGGCTTTGCATGTTCGCCCAGGAAACCTAATGTTCTCCACGCTTGCTCGCCGGTTTAAACTGACGTAGCTTGGCTTCGGGTCAGGTCCGATATATGCTCAATGATCTGTTTAATTAAACAGCATATACGGTCCATGATAAAAACCCTGCATATTCCAGAACAACGAATGTACCATAATTTTCGGATTAAGTCCTAGGTAACACAGGATCTATATCGTCAATAATTAATAATTATGTTTACGTTCTTTCGTAAACCTATCTAAGTTACATGACTGTTTCATATCGAAAAAACCTTCTACTATGACAGCTGCTAGTTGCAGGCCTTCGGTCCGTGGCTTTCTACACATACATACATGTGGCGGGAGTTTGGAGGATTCTAAGGTCTAGGCTTGGATCATGGTTGAACTACGAGTGCTTCGGTTTATTTGGTTCTTTCTCAGCGCGACTTCACCGTCTTCGCATTCTCCAGCTGTCCTGCCAGACCCAAGATCCATCTTTTCAGCGTTGACACTGTTGCAGTCTTTTTATGCGTGCCCTTCTTGATCTTGACCACATGTTTGTTGTAGTCCTCGTCCATCCACGTAGCATGGTATGTAAAATTCTCACGGCTAGGCAATACATCGCAGAACAAGTGGTACTGCAAGTGGAACTTCGGCCTTAGCCTCCACAGCTTCCTCCTCGATGCCAAAGCATTTTTCGCAAGGTTCAAGTACGATGTTAAAAACAGATGTCCAACGGTACGTACGTGAAGATGTTCAGCTTCAGTCATGTTCCTTCCAGCTGCGTTCGCAACACATAGACACGAGTCTGCAGCCCACAAGCACGTGCTCAGAAGCTCCTGATCTGGAGGGGCATGGGACGTCACTTCGGAAACCAACCACCGCAAAATCACGAACGTGTCGTAGCCTTTGCACATCATTTCCGGATACCCTTTTTTCTGGAAGCCCATGTTCAAAGTCGTCAGCCTCCTGATGCTAAGGGTGTAGCCATTGTCTTTTGCAAAGTCAAGCAGGCGTCGCGAAGCATCGCGGATCCGAAGCGCCACAGTTCTGCCATTGAACATGTAATGTTTACCCAAGAGCACTCTCAGCGCTGATGCAATCAGGTCTCTCCCACATCCCAAATGGAATATGTGCAGAATATCGGGCCACACCATGCTCATAGAAAATCCAGGGAGGTCCAGGAAAGGAGGTCTTACATGGTAGGGGTCGTTTAAGCCATAAGAGGACTTCCATTTTGCATTTGCTTGCAAGTTGGTGTAGCAGAAGCCCAGATCAGCACCTTCAGCGTTGCCCTTTGTAGCCATGCACTTCCAACAAACCTTGCAAGATAGCCGTTGCACACAGAGGTCGATGGGATAAGATCTAGATTATGTTAGTTTTCGGTCCCGATCAGTCACAAGGGTCTACCAGGAGCTATCGTGCGGCTAGGTCTGAACCCAATATAATGTACACACAAGATCAAACTCCCAAGACCCGACCACATCCTGCAAACATTTACACAGTTGAGAAAACCCTATGTAGTTAGGTCTTACTTTGCTGTCTGTTCCGAAACCCAATCTAAGGAGCTAAAGCTTCTTCAAAAAGATAAGGGGTTGTCCTTGGTATACACCATGAATATTAACATAAATCCATGGAGTAATATACATATACATATATATATATATATATATATATCTGTCGCTACCGATCCTAAATTTACGTTATCGTAAATGGCAGCCCATGAAATCCAAGCAACGAGCTCCCCACCAGTCGAAGGGTAATTCCTGATTTCCAAACCACGTGAAAGCTTAGCGAAGGAGGCGGTGATAGCCCTAGTAGCGGCCGCCAGCGTTGAATTGCAGCCATGGTCGTCTTTGACATACGCATCCGCCGGGATGGTGGTGATGAGCATGCGGGTTGCTCGACTTAATGTAAGATGTGGCGAACAAGCCGGAGACCAAACAAGTACCATCCAGCTTTCACGAAAAGTTTCGGCTTCATCTCCTTAGGTTTTAGGGCTTAGGTTTTAGGGAGCGTATATTCTCTAGACGGCACAAATCACGGGCCTTTTTTGATACTTAACATAATCAATCTAAACCACTCCTAAATAAAGTATGGGCACCGTAGATTGTAAGGGGAACGTGGAACGAGTGGTCCCGCTGTCGAGCGACAGGATGCAAAGGATAGTCTTTCAAGAAGTTGTCCCAAAAGTCATCCAGCTGCTCGTAGTCGACCAGCATGTCGAGGTAGCCATAATCGATGAGGGCATGAACCTGGTCGCTTGAAAGGTCGGGGTTGCGAGGATGTTGTTTCAATGGCTTTATTGGCACATGCATATACTTCGAGTTGGCTTTTGATAGTGTAATTGGGGCAAGCCAAGCTACCAATTCGTCAGGCATGATGAATGGCCACTGCACAACGTGCTCCTCGCCCCATCTGTCCAACATTGGGAGCGGCACATACTGCAACTCGCAATGAATGGCTTTATCCGCCTTCGCCACCCTCTCATGTAGACCACGTTCTCGTGAGTTTCTCAGCTTTCAGAATCAAGCAGGGTTTTTTAGAGGTGGTGTGACGACGATGGTCAGGACTACAACATGCATGGGCCGACGACCTAGGCCATTTCAATCTAGAGCTTCCATATATATATGGCAAATTCATACGGTGATACGTCGATGTGGTGATCTCAAGACTGTGATGTGGTGAACTGTTGCATGCTAAGGCTAAGGCCTAAAGTTTAGGGCTTCGGGTTTAGGGCTTAGGGTTCAGGGCTTAGGGTTTAGGGCTTAGGGCTTAGGGTTTAGGGCTTAGGGTTTAGGGCTTAGGGTTCAGAGCTTATAGGGTTTAGGGCTTAGGGTTTCCCAAAACAAGATGTTCTCTTGTTCACGCCGTGAGTCATAAAAGTTTCCGATCCAAAGAGCCTGCCAAAGCGACGGCTGCGAGTGACGGTGAGGTCCCCTGAGCCCACAGCATCCAGAAGCCTGGGATGTTATGCTGGTCGAATGGGAACATTAAGTCTTGGACTAAACTTCGGGCTTATGTGGTATTGGTCTGTGGCTTTTGCTGCCAACGGGCTCCCTGTCCAGCTGGTCTTGCAACCGATCGTCAGATGCATATGCACCTGCGCAAGGCTTCAGTGCACAATTCCTTCTTTTGGCATAGCAAGCCTTTTGCAGACAATAACCGGGGCAGGATTTGCCAGCATGCCATACACCCTGAAACTCCAAAGCGCCGAACCGGATCGAGAATATACCCTGTAACCCCAAAGCCCTAAAGTTTAAAGCTGACACCAGGCCTAGACCCTACAGCCCTCGAGTTTCAAGACCCGTTAACCTAGGCGCCATTATAAAATTCTAAACCCTATATCCGAGGACGCATGCGGCTTTTCCTGCAGCGACTCGTTCGGTGAAGCCTCCTGCCCTTCGATCGCATAGAGGGCGCCCACGGTGCCACAGCTGACAATATGTGTTTAAGCAGAAAGTCTAAACCCGAGGGCACGATGGGATTGGAAAGCCTAGCATAAGATGGCACCGTGATCCTGGCACACACTCCATGCAAGAAAATGTGGTGCCTAGTTGCACCGGTCCCAGCATGCGCAATCCCAGCATATGTGTGTATGACACAGTATGTCTTGCGCTTGCAATCTAAAGATTTCGGCAGTGCCAAAAGCCAGCCGAGCAGAGATATACCAATGCAGTCTTAAGTAGCGACTGGTAGTAAATAGTAGTCGTAGTAGTAGTAGTAGTAGTAGTAGTAGTAGTAGTAGTAGTAGTAGGAGCCGGTTGAAAGGACACTGAGCACGTTCAGGGTATTTGTCGCTTAAAGGTGATCAGAATGCTCTTATGTGTCCTTCCTTCCAGGCTAGTAGTAGTAGTAGTAGTAGCAGTAGTAGGTAGTAGGTAGTAGGTAGTAGTGGTACTTGTAGTAGTATAGTCGTAGTAGTAACAGAAGTAGTAGTATACTAATAGTAGTAGTATAGTAGTAGTAGTAGTAGCAGCAGCAGCAGTAGTCGTAGTAGTAGTAGTAGTAGCAGTAGTATTATAGTAGTAGTCGTCGTAGTATAGTCGCAGCAGCAGTAGTAGTACTAGTAGTAGTCGTCGTAGTATAGCCGCAGCAGCAGTAGTAGTGCTGGTAGAATAGCAGTATATAATCTACAGTATAGTAGTACTAGGCGCAGTAGGAATGGTTGTATCAAGCCAGCGGCAGTAGCAGTAGCAGTAGCAGTAGCAGTACCAGTAGCAGTAGCAGTAGCAGTAGCAGTAGCAGTAGCAGTAGCAGTAGCAGCAGCAGTAGCAGTAGCAGCATACTAGTAGTAGTACCAGTAGTAGTATAGCAGTAGTAGCGGTAGCCGGTAGTAATAGTGGTATTAGCTCTGGCTGCCGTGCTTGAACGCTCACGGTATGTAAAGGTCTTCGACTGTTCTGAACTTTCGGGTTTGGGGGTTTTCAAGGATCAGAGGTTGAAGATTTGAAGGTTTCAACGATCAGAGTTAAGGGTAATGAAGGTTCACGTTACGATCGGATTTAGTAGTCTTGACTCGCACCAGCCAGCGACAGCCGTGGTCTCCGCATGTTTGCTACATCATCGCGCTGCACGCATCCCCAAGTCTTCTAGAGTATGCATGTTCATGTATAATTGTAAAATTATGGATCTGCGTGCCTAGGCGCAGTGTCGGACAAACCTAGCACATCGACCAAGTAGATCTAGCATATCCCGACACGTAAAAAAACGTGTTCTATGGATACGGCTGATGGAGAAAGCAGGTGGCACCAGGCAGCTCCCATATTCAGCTCGCATCTTAATTATGTGAACCCTCCTACAGTAATTAAGATCCCCAGAGCTGCTGGCGCTCACGTGAGCGCTCACCTGGACCTCTTCGACCCGCGGCTCACATTGCTGCCGCTCTCTTTCTTGAGCTCCCGCGCCACCGCAGCAGCTTGAACACGCGTGTACTTCGCACCCTCCACCTTGCATGTTTTGTAGGATCGATTATACTAACCATGGATTTTAAGGTCCGAACTCATCCTCGGGTATTGTGATGGTTACGGCAGATATGTACCCCAACCAGACAGGAAACCTCCCAATCAAGTACTGAAATTGTGCAAGCCACGAGCTCAGCAGCTTGCTCCCTCAGCTTCTCCAAGGATGGCATGTCGGTGCAGTCGCGGATCCTTCATCTACGTGACTAGCCGAGCAGTGGGGGCTTAAGCTTACGGGTTAAAATAGTTGAGGTTAACATTAAACATTCATGCTATATAAAGCCGATTTCGGGTTCCACTTACATTTGCGAGGTAAGTACAGGCTTATGGCATATCTCGGGAACATGATGGAGATGAGGCACTCATCCAAGATAGCAGTAAGATCATTGCTCACCTTCTCGAGGGCAGTTCGGAGGTCATGCCCGGATGGCAGGTCCACGTAGCAATTGCATGCCTTCAGCTCCTTTTTGATGCTCGTACCTGAGAATAACTACATAGTACAATTGGTGCAGTGCAAACAATGTCGGGTTTAGGGGCATAGGGTTTAAGGGTTTAGGGTTATGTATAGGGCATGGATTTAGGACTTTGGGTTTGAGGTTTGAGGGGAGGAGAGGGGAACGGGTACGGGTTGGACTTCGATGGGTGCAGCTGTCTAAATCTCATGAAAATAACAAGGATGCATATCCGGGCAATCTAGGCACGAGTCTGCTCAATCGCCTCCTCAAGGTTGTTCGGATTCGCGGACACGGCTTTTGCCTTAGCCTTTGCTTTCCCTTTGGGAGCAGCCGAGGCAGTGTTCGAGCCCGGGTTGGCGGAGCCGGAGCCAGCTGCCAAACCTTGGCGGCAAATACTATAAGATATATATATATATATATATATATATATGTATAGCCATATATATATATATATGTATGTATGTATGTGTGTGTATGTGTATTACAATATCTGTTCACCAGGATGCCCAATAGCTTTATCCGGTACTCAGTTTTATTGCCTACACAACTGCTGGAAACGTCATAGTGCCAGTCATCTCACGACATTGAATACATACTACCATGTGCAACTGCTGCTACAGCTGTTGCTAACTGTGCTGGGCGTTGTTGCACAAAAACGAACACAACCGCGAGGACCACTACTTTTGCTGCTGCTGCTATTGCCAGCGCTACTGCTATACTACTATAGCTAATGCTACGGCTACTGCTACTGCTATGCTATTGCTCTGCTGGTAATGCTACTATAGCTGCTGCTACTGCACTGCCACTACTCCTGTGGCTGCTCCATGTTACTGCTACTTGCTATATATGCTAAATTCTAAATGCTACATGCTACTGCTGGCGCTGCTGCTATACTGCTACTGCTAAAACTGCTGTTGCTATACTGCTGTATCCTAGTCTTCTACTTCTGCTATTGTTATTGTCAATATGCTGCTTGAAACATCCACTGCTCCGGCCGGCCTTGGCTTGGGCTGCTGACAGGTACTTAGTATTGTTTGGTTGAGTGGGTTATGTTGGACGATGTGGCAGGAAAGGCTTTCTCGGTGAACCAGTATATGAGCCAGGAGTCTGGTCTGCCTTATAGGTTTTATGTAGGGTTTTAATATCAGAGGATCGATGCATTTAAGATGCACTTGTCGAAGCCGTAGACAAAAAACCCAGAGCCAACCCTACAGCCATCGTGTAGAAAGTTTAGAGTGCCAAGCGCTCGACACACAATTTGGATGTAACGGTAGATCTTCCAGCGACCAGCGAAATCCTTGAACCGCAACCCCTGAACCCTGACCTACCTAAACCTGGGCACCTTCATAATGCGAAGTAAAACGCAGCATGAGTATAGAGCTGTATCTATTAATTAAGTCTACATATAGATAACACATACAGTTATATACTCACACTCCGTTTTACTTCGCATTAAGCCCCCTTAACTAAGAACATTGATAATACACCCGAGATATCCAAAGAACACTAGCCTCCATCAGTCCAGCAGCTGCTCTGGATGTGGCCAAGGAGATCGTTGCTGACACCTGGGGCAAGCGGGACGGCGGGCGCGATGCTGGGGGCAATGCTGCCTCCCAAAGCTGAGACAACACCAGGCGTGGCCGCGGTATGGGCAGTGAACGTACCCGTAGTGCTGCTTTCTTCGCGCTCCAAGGCTGTCCTTTCCGTGGTTACCCAATAATAATTCTCGGACACCATGTCCGGCACGTCCTCGTCCGGAACGCCCGCCTAGCTTGGATGGGTTGAGCATCGTGTGTATGTGTGTAGTGATTACTTTGCAAGTTTAGCAGCTTGCGTCGTCACGATCCGCTCGATTTTCTTCCTTGGACATACAAGCAACCTCATTAATCTGTCGTGTCCTACGCTTAAGTACAGCTCCTAAGTCGTTGATCCAAGTAGCTCGCTGTAGCCTCTCTTGACCATTTCACTGATCTTCAACAACTCCTTTTTTTTGTCGTTGGTGTTGGAAGATTTTCTCATCAAGATCACGGCGGCTTCGCATGCATCGGCGTTCCCCTCCTGCTCCACCCATTGGCGGAGGAGGGCGTTTCTGTCCTGATAGCTAGCACTGCGATTTGTTCGTGCTTGCACGGGCCCGATGTATATATATATATATATATATATCATTGAAATTAAAAGCCAGCCATTCTTTGAGAGCTTGGGATACATTGGGAAGGTCTTCATACTCAAAGGTTTGCAGGGGTTGAGGGTTTAAGTTTAGTGTAATATATGTAGCCCCAGGGATTGTATGGTGAGCACCGCAATTATGGATAACGTATAAAGTTTCACCGAAAATATAGAGGGTTTAGGGTTACCACTACTCCCGCGACGGAGTCGTAAGGATCAGGGTGATTTTTCTAGGCCATATTAGGAAGATACCCGATTTATGGACGACCCTTTCCCTGCCCTCTCTTCCTGCCTCAACCTTAAACCTTAAAGCCCTACAGCTTATATTAATAGATCCGAAATCACTTGACGAGTCACAGTCTTGCTCCCCCCGAAGAGCCCACGCATGTGCGGGAAGGCAGTTCCTGCCCATTCATGATAAGTTGATTCGAGCTTGAATTTCGAGACTTGAGCAACAATATGAAAAAAATCACCGAGCCCATGCCTCGCGGACCGGTGACGAATCTTTCGAGCCGATTCCACTCCGTCTTGTGGGTGCTCGTGTTGATCACATCCAGCTGCAGCGGAGTACCACGCCTCAGGCCTGGCACCGGAGCTGCCGCATCTTCCACTGCCGGCGGTGGTGGCGGGATGGATCGCGGATCGGGGAGCTCACCAACCCCCCCGGCGTGCAACTTCTTGTTCCTGGCAGCCTTGGAACGGCCCGTCATTCCCTCCTGCACATCATGCACCTCCTCGGCATCAGCCTCCTCCTCCAGCTCGCTGTCCCGGGCCTCGCTGGCCATCTCAACGTCATCATCACCATCATGCTGTGCTGGGCTGGGTTCATCAGCATCCTCCATTGCCTCATCATCTTCCTTCGTCTCCTCCTCCTCTCCCTCGACGGCCTCCTCATAGCCTTCATCATCATCATCCTTGTCTTCGCGCTCATACGCCTCCGTCGCATTATCTGCATCGGATGCATCATCATCCTCCTGCTCCTCCTCCTCCTCCTTCGCGGCAAGCACTGGCTTGCGCACCGCCGGTGCCGGTGCTTCTGTCTCACGATTGGCCGTGAGCTGAAGCTGCTGATTGGAAACCGTGAGCCTCACCACCTCCCTCTTCAACCGTTCGATTTCGGAGGCCATGGAGCTCGCTTCACTCGGCAAGTTGCTGGCACTGTGCCTCGAAAGTAGAAACACCAAGCAAAAGATATGATGCCACATTATTCATAAGAAGCCCAAGCATTGCTGTCCTATATATGGTGCCATACAAGCAACGAAGGGTTTACCGAAGGTAGCGAGCTAGCCGTAGTCGAGGTGTGGCTGGGGCTGGGATCCCTTGCAGGCCGCTTGTTCTGGCCCTCGATCATCTTGGCCCCGGCCATCAGCGTGGCACAGGACCTTGGCCAATTAATACTGGGTCCGAACGGGGATTCCACTACAATTTCCAGGAAAAATACACTTGGTGGTTTCATAAGTGAAAGTTCCAGTTGCATCTGTATATTACATATCATATATAACTAGAATAGTTCAAAGTCTATATCTATATACACATTTAAACCAATTGTATATAGGATACAAACCCTCATCGGTCAGTGTCCCGGTTTCGGATAAAAAGGGTTTAAGCTAGTCGTGTCATTTCAGGATAGGTACTATTGTTTTATTTGGGCTGTAGCCTCGCATCTACAACCTGACATGAAATGGTGTTGACTGGGTAGTAACCGGGTTGTATTGGATGTACAGTGAATTCGGTCTGGAGTTTGGGATCGAGGTTTCAGCGACTCTTGGTTTAAAGTATTGGGTTTAGGGTCCGAGGGGGATAAAGCTATCTAACTCCATGGTTTGGGGTACTGGGCTGATTTAAACAACGGCAGAACAGATATGCTGACGAATGGCCACCCGCGCTTGAGCTGCTTGGGCTCCGCCACAGGCTCCGTCACCGGCACTGGCGTCTCAAACCTGGGTTCCTTCGAAACACGCTTTGTAGCGATGTTCAAAGGCGTCTTCTGGCTCAAACGTCGTCGGCGCTTGGGCTCTTCCGGCTCTTCCGGCTCTTCGGGCTCTTCCGGCTCTTCCGGCTCTTCCGGTTCTGCCGGCTGTTCCACAACAGGCTTAGGCGGATTCAGAGCAAAGAACTCTTTGGGGGTAACAGCTCGAGGCTTCTTGGGCACCGAGCTGCCCTGGCCACGGGCGGATGGCAGCACGAAGTCCTGCCAAAATCCGGCGAGTTATGATGGCTGACGCGTGGCCGCTCTAACTCTAGCTGGCACAAACTATATGACATGCTCGCAGCTGATGGGTCCTTGGGTGGCGGTCCCACAACTTCCCTCAAAGCCTCGACGGCCTCAAGCTCAGTGAGATCGAAAACCTTCATGATCTCCTCGAGGTTGTCGTACTCGAGGATCGGGTGATCGTCCTGGGGCTCGACCGGCTCTGCTGGCTTCTTCGGCTCTGCCGGCTTCTTCTTCCCACTGGAAGCCTTGGCTGTGGCCTTCGGCTTGTTCACGGGTTTCGTAGGTTTCACCTTGTCCTTGGTCTTCGCATGCTCCTCTTCCTCGTTCACAGCCATAGGCCCCGCTGCAAGCTTTTGAATCTTTCGAGTCATACCGAAAGCCCGGGCGGTGCTGGAAAGCAGCAGTCGATGAAGTCACTAGAGCAAAATGCTGTGCATCAGGCATAGCAGCATCTTTGGAGCAATGGATATCCTGGACTGAATCCTACAAACAAAGCGAAATTTGCGTAACATCACGAAGACAGCCCTTTCAGGCCTGCTGGTCTCTTTGGAGTTCAGTAGCTCAGGGGTACATAAGCAGAAAAGCACTTTCCCGTTCTTCCTGGGGATTTCCCGTTCATGAGCCGGGATCTCCCGCACAAATCCCGGGTTTTTCCCGCCCTACCTTTTGGCACCGCGTTCGTCTCTTGCAACATTCGAAACTAGGTTAACTAGCATTAACGAGCATCACTCTGTAGTTTCTAATTGAACACCATTGATGTACGCTCGCAGCACACACTGTGCAGGTAGGGCGCGTAGAGAGGTCATTTGGCAGTGAGCTTGTGAAACGGGCAGCCTAGGACTGCACAGCGGAAAAACCTTGGTGGCCTGGATTCCACCTTGGCTGCAGAGCATTGCGGGACTCGGCGTGAATGTAAGGGGAGCGAATTCACCCAATCATTTATGGTTGATATGTCGAGGCTCACCCTGGAGCTCTTTAACTCCCTTACGACCACTGAAAACCCTGAAACCCCACGCACCTATAGCTTGGAATAGATGTACTGCACCTTTAGCAAGACGGAAACCCCAACCGCAAAGTCCAGACATAAAAACCACCTCCAAGGGCTAAATCGTTCATAAACATGGGAAACCTATGAACCCCTAAACCCATAGATGATCTGATGCCTGAACCCTCATCCCATACAAAAGCGATCCGGGGCCACAAGCTGCAACGAGGGTGGCAGAATTTGTTTCAAGGACAACAGACCACTGTCAGTCGACATGAGGAACCCTAGTTCCCTTCACTAGAGCACGGTTGTTTAAAGCACGAGATCACACAGAAGACCTCAACCTCCGAAGTACGAAGCTGTAGCGTCGCTGGACCGTTGAAGAGTTGAATATCTTAGTCTGAGCATTCAAAGTTCCGACTCCGACGCCTAGATTGCTCGACTCGTGATTATACATTTATGGAAAACCGTCCATTCAGAACGAGCCCCAAGATAGGAACCTACATGAGTTACAAGCATGCACGCCCGATTCAACAGAGCTTGTTGCGTACATGTTTACGATATTCGGGTTCCAGGATCCAGTTTGAGGCCCCGGGTTTAGGTTGCAGGGTTTGGGCTTCAGGGGGTTCAAAATGTAGCAATCGAGCGGGCTTTGTTCAAGGGCTTCCAAGTTGGGAATCCAACCAAACCCGGTCCCGGCTTGGGTTAGTGGGACGTTCCAAGGGTTTACGGTTTGCTCAGGAACCAATCCCCCGCTAGGACAGACAAGCTCTATCCTGCGTACCTACTTGGGCTGTGTAGCAGGTTGAGGATCTTGGGCTAGCCAGTAGTAAATCTACAATCGATGCTACGTTAATCTTTATTTCCCCCCC